CTGAGCTTGTAGCCATGTGGACACCCTGGGGCCATCCTTAACTAAACTTCCTAATTGGACTGTGCATTTGACTTGTGATTTAACACAAGTTCATGGATCCATATAAAATCTTGGATTTTTCTACCTATCAGTCCTCTGAATTTTGGTTATCAAGGGAATGCTGAGTTATCATGTGCTTGATTTTAGGGGGGAAAATAGAGTTTGAAGTTGATATTTGAACAGTGAGAAGGGAATTGAAGATCAGGGATCTGGGGAGATTTTGGTCTACTGCTGGAAGAAGAGAGAAGGTGACCTGATTAATTGAAGCTGATTAAACCTTATTCAAGGAACCTAGGTGGTACAGTGGATAGAGTGCTAGTCCTGAAGACTCATCTTCCTTGATTTCAAATGTGGCCTCAGATACTTACTAGCTGTGTGACCCTGGGCAAGTCACTTAACCCTGTTTGCCTCAGTTAACTCATCTGTAAAATGATCTGAAAAAGGAAACGGCAAACCATTCCATTATTTTTGCCAAGAGAAGCTCAAATGGGTCAGGAAGAGTCAGAAAGGTCTGAAGATGATTGAATAACAAGCCTTATTCATAGCCACAACTATTGTTGTTTGTCCTTCATTCTTGAAGAGGACCACAGCATCAGGAAGGTGATGCCATGACTTGCAAGTGAATTGGATTGAAGTGAGGAAGGTCTGTGCAATGTCACCAGCCTTATTTTCTCCTCTGGAGCCATCTGGGTCCAGTGCCAAGATATAAATCAGGATGACTAGAGATGGCCCCCCTCTGACACATAGTAGGTGCTTAATAAATGTTTGATGACTAACTGGATAGTTGTGCCCAGTGCCACGAGAGGAGAAAAAATGCAGGGACCCCGCAGTGCCACAGGAATGGGTTGTCTTGGCCACCTGTGCCCTCCACATGGTCTCCTCAAAGGCAGGTTGGAATAGGGGGAAAGTACTAGTCGTGGGGTGACAGGGCCTGGGTTCAAGATCCGTTTCTGGGATTTACTATCAGTGTATCCTTGGTGAAGTCATTGAGATGTACTAGGCTCTAAGGCAGGGAGGGAGGGAGAGGGAGAGGGGGAGAGAGAGAGAGGGTTATAGTAGAGAGAAAGAGACTGAGACAAAAAAACAGAGAGGTAGCCATGAAAGGACCAACAAATGCCCAGATTGAGTAGAAATGTGGTTAGAAGGAATTTCCTCATCTCAGAATTCCCTGTCCCCATTGTGAAGAAGTATAGTGTATCATCTTTTGGCCCAATGGATAATGCTAGACTTGGAGTCAGGAACACTTGGGTTCAAATCCTTCCTCCGATACTTGATAGTTTTTTGACCCTGATCAAGTCACATTGCTCATCCACATCTCAAGTTCTTCATCAGTAAAATGAAGAGGTTTGACCAGGTGGCCACCAAGGTTCCTTCTAGCTTTAAATCTGCTGTCCTGTGACTCCCAAATGTATGATCCCTCAGGGATTTTCTTTTGTGTGAAAAATTTTTTTTGTGTGTGTATGTGTGAGTTTCTGAGATGTTCAGGCTGTGTTCTTAAGTCAGAACTTTCCCTTTTTCTCACTGTGTTTGTTGGCTTGTAATTCAATACTTTGGAAGATAACTAATTTTAGTAATGTGGGTTCTGACTCTGATTGAGACCATTTTAGGCTTCAGAAGGTGGGTTCATTAGGAGCACAAAATATTTATCATGTGATAGCCAAACTTTGAATTTAGTTAGGCTTAGCTTTTGTTGGAAGACCCAGCGATGCTCTAAGCCTTTTCAATTCGGTGTAGGTTCTGCCAGAATTATGTTATAAGGAAGGACCCTATATATCAAGGAGGCAACTTGGCCAAGTGAATAGGAAACTGGCCTTCAAACCAGGAAGATGTAGGTTCAAATTCTGCCCATACCATATACTGGTTCTATAACTTTGGGCAAGTCACTTAATCTCTTAGGGCTCTAGACCAATGGTGCCAAAAGGAACATAGAAACAAATCCTTGTGGACTGAATATTGACTTAGAAAACCACAAGTTAACATTATCTATGTTGCATTGTATTTATATTCATTTTGTTAAACACTTCCCAATTAAATTTTAACCTAGGTCCAAATGGAATTTTGAACTCCACTGGCTACAAGTTTCAAACTTCTGCTCTCAAAATCTCTAAGTTGAAGAGATGGTACCAACCCTCATTGCAAAATTGGTTTTACTTATTTAAGGGTTCTCTAGACCAGGAAAATCACAGGTCTAGCCTAGGCCTTATCTCTGGGCCCTGCCAGAGGAAGAATCCAAGGTCACCCCATGAAATAAATGATGAGATGTTGGAATGGACTTTAATGGAAGGTACAGGTTTATGGGGCTGATTTCATGTAATACTTAACCAGGGGCATGCTGGTAAAAGTTTAACAACCAAAAAAAAGTATGCACAATACACTTTTAAGTTTAATCTACATTATCTAACATTTTCTCCATTACTTTCCCAAGCCTGCACAGTCAAAGGGAGCAAGAAATCAAACCCTAATTTGTAGTGTTTGCTGATTTCTGAGGTGTACAGGCTCACATTGAAAATTTAAGTTGGTTCTCATTAGTTGTCAATCAATATATGTGTATGTATGTATGTATGTGTATGTGTGTATATATATATATGGGTAAGTATGTATATATACATATATGTGTATATATATACACATATGTGCCTCTCTGTGTATATATTTATATATATGTATATATATATATGTATACGTCATCTTTACACACACACACACACACACACACACACACACACACACACACACACATACATATCATCTGCTATGTGCCAGGCAGAGGCAGCTAGGTGGCTCAGTGAATAAAGAGCTGAGACTGGAGTCAGGAAGACCTGAGCTCAAATGTGGTCTCAGACACTTACTAGCTGTGTGACCCTGGACAAGTCACTTAACTGCTGTTTGCCTCAATACACTGAAGAAGGAAAAGGCAAATCATTTCATTATCTTTGCCAAGAAAACTGTGTGGACAGTATTGGTGTGCTGTAATCCACAGGGTCAAGAAGAGTCAGACATGACTGAGCAACAATAATGTGCCAGGCACTGTGCTAAGTGCTTGAGCTACAAAAAGAGGTAAAAGAAAGTCCCATCCTCAAGGAGCTCACAATCTAAAGGAAGAACCAACAAGCAAACACATATATGTAAATACCGCTGGACTTAACCCAGTTCACAGACACAGGGTGTCCTGAAAGTCTTAGTGCAGTATTAAGGCTTCTGGACTACCCTGCGTATCAAGAGAGGAACATTCCATTTCATGAATGAAGTAGTAGTTTTTGATGGGTTTTATCTTTCTCCTATTTTAGAATTCTCTGCCTTGTTACTAAATATAAACTGAGTATGTGGGGAAATATAATGGCTGATATTTCAGATGTCTTAAAGTGCTTGGAATATAGCAGAAACTTAACTATTGTTGATTTGATTTCTGATTTACTGTTGGCTCACAAGCTGTGAAATGCAGCCTCAGAAAACTGGAGCAATTCATGCAGGAGAAAAAGTTATAGGGGTTGGAAAATTAACCAGGTAGAAACCATCATAAGACTGGGTCAATTAACCACATCTCATAAATTATGGCATTCTGTGTAGTGGGCTAGCTAGTATGGTACAGACTTGGCACTTGTGTGGGGCCATATGAATGCAGAAAGACATTAGGACTGCCATTTTGATGCTAGTGGACAGCATCTAGTATTTTGAAATATTGATTAAAATTGGTACATGGTGGTAGTGGAGAGTTTACATGAAATGAGATTATGACATAGGACAAGAGAACCCTTTCTATGAGTAGGTCATGGAAGGGAAAAGCCTTCTGGGATGCTCAGGCTGGGCACAGCATCTGTGTCATGAAAAGAACCCTGTAAGGTGTAACAAATTTTTATTTAAAAAAAATCACAGCAGGCATTTTATAGGGCTTTAAGGTTTATGAAGAGCTTTACAAACATTTCCTTAATTTATCTTTACAACAAACCACCCTCCTCTTTGCCCTTTC